ATGGGCTGGGTTGCCACGTCCCAGACTGACTAGTCCTCATCATTCCTGGCTTCCCACACAGCCACTGAAACTGACAGAGGTTTGCTTTGTGGGCCCTGCCAGGGCTGTGTAAAGCCGCCACGTGTCAGCCCGGCTTTTCTCTTCCCTTCAGAGAGGAGTTCTAGGGGGTTCAGAAAATTGGTACCTGCCTGGGAATGTTCCTGGCCTTCGACCAGCGGCCAGACTATTACAGATCAGGACTGGGAAGCCAATCTACCACCTCGCTCCTCCATCCAGGTCGAGCAGCAGGAGACAGTGCAGGCCAGGGCAGAGCCTGCACCCCAAAGGCATGGGTACAGAACCTGAAGGAAATTGAAGTGCCACAGAACCGGAACATGAACCTCTAGCATTCACACCCTGAGCTCCTGTCCTCCTTCATTTTCCTAAGTGAATGGGTGACAGGCATGCACTACCGTGCCCATCTTCATACAGTGCTGGAGGCTGCACTCAGAGCCTTGTGGCTGCTAGGCAACCACTCTACCAAATGATTGACAGCTCGGCCCCACACAGCTCTAGCCTTTCAGAGTCCTTTTCCACATCCACAGCAGGAGCCGGACTTGGTTCCCAATATTTGCATCAGGTGGCTTATAGCCACCTATAACCCCAGCTCTAAGGGATTCAACACCCGCTTTTGGCCTCCGAGGGCATCTGTATTCAAGTGTACATAATTAAAAATTAAATCTGAAAAGAAGATTATTAACATTTATGGAGTGTTTGTGGCATATACAGTGAACCAAATGCATCTCATGTCACCTCATTTAATATTCACAAGAACTTTATAAGAAGTTTCTATTTGGGTAAACCGAGGCTGGAGGTTAAGTAACATGCCTCAACTTACACAGAATTAAATGACTTGCCCCAGGTTCAAGCCCAGAGCTCTGACTGCAAAGCCAGCTCTGATACCACTCTCTTGTACTGTCTTCTGTCTACCTCAGTCAAGGCAGTCTTAGAGAACCCCATTTTCTCTACCTACAGATCATATCCATGCACCACTCAATGAGCCCAGAAGATAAAAGTCCTTTGTGGATTGCACAGCACTGAGGGCGAGTTCCTAGCTATCTGGGGGGAGTACAGTGAGAGGAACGAAGGGCCGAAGTCAAATTTCATCCTCCTCTGTGTTTGGCCTTGCCCTGATCAGTAGCCTCTGTGCCCAGGGGATCAAGCCTGAGTGACAATGGGATCTTTGTGTCCTCCAGCCAATGAGAAGATCTGGTTGGAGAAAGATGCAGTAACAAGGCAATGGGCTGAATCAGTCTCTGGTGAGCCCCACCCCGTGAGCCCAGCAGCCTTGGCTCTGAGCCAGATACACAGAGAGTACATCCATCCACGAAAGCTGTGATACATGATCCTATCCCTGCATCTAGAGCAGGCCAAGCTGGCACCAGCTCAGTCTGGGTTAGGATATCGAAGCCCTAGGCTTTGCCATCCACGCTGTTCCATTGGTCTTGTAAGCCTTTATTTCCTAACTGTTCAAGCAAAGTGGGACTGGGTTGGAGTTGGTAGATTAAGAATTTTGAGGTGAGGTAACATCATCATGGGGCCTTACAAGATGGAGGCAGGAAGATCAAAGCCAGACAAAGAAATGGAAGCAGAAGTAGAGGTGGGAGTGAAGCACTTAGAAGGCAGAGGGAAGCAGGTTGAGGATGTAGCTCATCAGGCAGGATGCTTGCTTAGCTTGCAGGAAGCTCACTTGGCTTGCAGGAAGCCCTGGTTTCCATTCTCAGCATCACATAAAATAGGCATGGGGAGCTGGACGTCAGGTCACACGGGCATGCCCAAGGCAGTGGGCTAGAGGGACACGACAGGAACAGGCTGGAGGGGACTTGGAGAGGGTGTTGGCCTGGAGCAAAGACCTCACAGTCCTGACTTGTTATTTCGCAAAATGTGAAACAGATGCAGGGACTGGAGAAGTGGCCCCGGAGTTAAGAGTGCTTGCTGGCCTTGCAAAGGACCCAAGTTTTGATTCCCAGCACTCATGTCAGAAAATTCATGAGCACTGGATCTCTAGTTCCAAGGGAATCTGACACCCTTTCCTGGCCTCTACTACTGCTACTACTACTACTACTACTACTACTACTACTACTACACACACACACACACACACACACACACACACACACACACACTTCCTGTTTTGTAAGGGTCATCAGAAAATCTATGCAAAAAACTTGTCCCATTGCTTGGTCCAAAGTATGTGTTTAAGAAATGCCCATTGTCCGCTATGTTCAGCAAGTCCGGTTTTATCCCAAGCTTTTTCAGACCCAGGCCAGCTGGCCTTGGTGGGTTCCGGATAGAACGTCCCCATTGTCTCAGTGTGTGGGTGCACCCCTCGCGGTCCTGAGTTCCTTGCTCGTGCTCTCTCTCCTTCTGCTCCAGATTTGGACCTTGAGATTTCAATATGGTGCTCCAATGTGGGTCTCTGTCTCTGTCTCCTTTCATCGCCTGATGATAGCGGACAATGAGGACTACTGAGAACTCAAGAACAATGGCAATGGGTTTTTGATCCCACTGCACGTACTGGCTTTGGGGGAGCCTAGGCAGTTTGGATGCTCACCTTACTAGACCTGGATGGAGGTGGGTGGTCCTTGAACTTCCCACAGGTCAGGGAACCCTGATTGCTCTTTGAGCTGATGAGGGAGGGGGACTTGATCAGGGGAGGGGGAGGGAAATGGGAGGCCGTGGCGGGGAGGAGGCAGAAATCTTTAATAAATAAATAAATTAAAACAAAACAAAACAAAACAAAAAAAGCAATAAATAAATAGAATTAAAGATCTCACACAAAAAAAGAAATGCCCAAAAACATTTTTAAATTTTCATTTCATCTAAAAAAAAGAAAAAAGAAAGAAAGAAATGCTATTTAGGGCTAGATCTCTGTGAGTTTGAGGCCAGCCTGGTCTACAAGAGCTAGTTCCAGGACAGGCACCAAAGCTACAGAGAAACCCTGTCTCAAAAAAAAAAATAAAATAAAAAAGCAAAAAGAAAAAAAGAAATGCTATTCAGGGCTGGAGAGATGGCTCAGTGGTTAAGAGCACTGACTACTCTTCCAGAAGACCTGGGTTCAAATCCCAGCATCCACATAGCAGCTCACAACTGTCTGTAACTCCAAGATCTGACATTCTCACCCAGACATACATGCAGCCAATGCACATAAAATCATAAAAATAAAACACATTTTTAAAAAAGAAATGCTATTCAAAGCTGGGTGGTGGTAGACACCTTTAATCCAAGCACTCTGGAGGCAGAGGCAGGTGGATCTCTGTAGGCTGAATACTGTATACATAATAAGTAAGATATTTTAAAAAACGAAACAACAACAACAAAAAACCAACTAGCTAATTAAAACCTTTCGGACTGAGAGATGCACAAGGCCCCTGTTTTCCCCGGGCTGCTGTCAAGGAGAGGAAGTACATGATGTCGGATGGTGACAGCTATGAGGAGGAAGGGAAATGAGGCTAAGGTTATCCTTTCTCCTGTGAGGGAGGCAAGGAGAGAGTTGAGTGGCCAAGAAGGCCTCTCTAAGGAGGAGACCTTAGAATAGAGTTCTGAGGGATGTGAAACATCCGGGCTCAGGAAAATCACGTGGAGAAATGTCTCTCAGCCAAGGTAGTAGGAGGAGTGTGGTGAGGACCTGGCGAGAAAGGGAGGGGCCCTGGTGTGTAGAAGTTTATCCTAGACTCTTCCCTGCCTTCTCCAATTCCATGTTACCCAAACCCAAGGACTACTTCAATATCTCTGCCTTTCAGGAAGGCTCTGCCAGTCTGACTCTCTGGGAGAAGCCTTAGGGTCTGCATCACCGAGGATGTGGTTCTATGTTTGAGGTATATTCTTTTAGCCACACCCAAAGCTCCTGCAGCATCCATGATGGTATTCCCTGAAGTAGACACGCACAAAGTGCTCGGTCAAGAGCTGCCGCATGGATGGCCAGTTCACTGGGCTGACATGTAGACTCAGCTTTCTTGGACCAGTTTTGGTCAGGTGTTGTATACAAACTGTTTGCCCGGCATGGGCCTGTGCCCTTCTTATTAAAATGGTCTCTTAACAGCATCTAAGTCAGGCTGGGAATGTAGATTAATTGGTAGAGTGCTTGCCTAGCATGCATTAATCCCTGGATCCAATTCTTAGCACCATATAAACTAGTCTTGGTGGTACACATCTGTAATGTTAGCACCCAGGAAGTAGAGGCGGGGAGATCAGAAGTTCAAGGTTATCCTCGACTACATGATAAGTAAGTGGTCAGTATGAGATCTTGTCCAAAAACAAACAACATCTAAATGGAAAGCCTGCTATGTCAACCATGGCTTCCCCACCACCCCTCGTTATTGCTCCCGATCTATCAATATTACTGCTCTCTGTGTTTGTCAGGTACCACTGATGCCAGTTTCCTAGCAAGTTTAAATCCCCCATTTATCTATGGCTGAGTGCCGCTAGACTTAGAGGGGGACTTTATGGACCAAGACTTCACCTCATCATCAAATGTCACCAGCAGTAGCTTGTTTTGTTGGCACTGAGAAAATTCCGGACTTGTTTTTGTCACGACTCCCCCACTCCTCGAATTGCTCTGCCCTTCTGCACATCACCTAAGTCCACAGGAAAGTTCAGTCAAGTTCACTGGCTGGCTGGAAAGCCAGGACGCTGGCTTTAGCTGTGTCTCTTGGGTAATGCCTTGGACACTTCAGGCTTGGGGCCTCAGCCGGCCTCAGGCTGAACAAGACCCGTGCTGTTCTAGGTGACTTCTGTGGCTGTTCCAGCCCAGACCCTCATGTCTGTTTAGGCAGCAGCCCCGGAACAGATGAGGCAGGTGGGGCCAGGATGTCTGGGTACCACAGCCTGCCACAAGGCAAGGAAGGAAGAAAGAAAAGACAGTTAGCTTTGGTTCTGGGGAAAAGGGGGAGGCAGGCCAGGGGAAGGAGGAGACAGAAAAGGAGGAGGGCCTTGGGTGGAGGCGGAGGGTGAGACAGACCCTGCCCAGAGCTCCAAGTGGCTTCCTGCTGCTTGCCTCTAAACCCCTCCACATTCCTGCAGCCCTTCAGACCGCCGGAACTGTTCTGCCGCCTGCCTGCCTGCCTGTCTGCGCCGAGGTATGCAACACCCTGCCAGCCCCTGCTCTTCTGTAGGCTGCATCAGTCCCTATGCCCCTTCCCCATGACTAGCCTTGGGGGCCAGGAGATAAGCTAAAGGGAGGCTTCCCTTCGGGCACAGACTGGAAACCTGTTGCTCACTCACAGGGGAACTTGCTCTCTGTAGCTCTGCAGAAAATAGCCATGATTTGTAGAGATTACTGTCTCTCTGTAGGCTCTCTGGGGCCAGAGGCCGCTAGTCTGTCCTCTGTCACCCTCGGTGGCAGCTGTCTCCTCTTCTGGGAATCTGATCCTCATTTGCCCATCACCACCAGGAGAGTCCATCCGGCTAGCAGCCTACTGGGTCTGGCTCCCTAGTCCAGGAGAACAGAGAGAGAGTTCTGGGTCAGAGTGCTGCTGCCCAAACGGGACTTTGCAAGAAAGGTAAAACAATCTGTTTAAAAGCAAGGCATTGCCTCTAATCCGTTCCTTCGGGAAGGTTCAGGTCCCTGGAGTCTCAACCCACCCCCACCTCACCCCGTGGCAGCGTCAGTCAGCCTGTAAATTCTTTTGTCTTTCCCAGCCTGGGATTGCCATTGTTCCCATTCTAATTCTGAGAGCTGGTCAGTACAGGAACCCACCGACAGTTGCTTTAGTTGTATCCAGACTTCTGAGAAAACCAACTGATACGATCCCTACACTGGGAGCGAGGTGATTGGAGGAGGGGAGTAGGGGATTCGGGCTCCAGGACACCTTTCACACCTCATTGCTGAACCCACCCAAGACTCGGACCAGCCTGGGGGATGCTAGTCTGCTCCGAGCTATTCTGTGAACTTTCCCAGGGTGGCTGAGATAAGTCTCACCCGAAGGGAACAGGCGCAAGTCATCCTCCCCAGGGACAGATAGCATATCTGCAGGGGGAAAGTCTCCACTGGCGACCTTCTAGGTTAAGTTTCTTGAACCATCCGAGTGCAGGTAAGAGGAATGAGATGTGGACCCTATCTATGTGGGGTAGCAAGCTTTAGGCACAGTTTGTGGGCAATCTCACCAAGGCATCTCCCTTGAGTTTAGCCTTCCTGTCCTAATAAAGAGGGTTAGTCCTTGGGAGTACCTAAATTCCCATAAGACTTTGAGCCTACGAACAGAATAGCTTCAGGGCGTCTCTGGAAGTTCCTGCAAATTGTGTGCATAGTGTAGGTGTGTGTGTATGTGTGTGTGTGTGTGTGTGTGTGTGTGTGTGCGCAAGTGCGTGCATGTGAGTTATGCCTGTGTGTGTAAGAGATGACAGGTGTCTGTAACTTTCAGGTTTAAGATCTTCCCAAACAGATATCAGACCCCCAGAATGGTGCAAGGGTGTGATGTGGAGAATAGAAACAAATTTGTATTTGCCAAGGATTAAGCCAGAAAGGAGTGGCTGGGAGAAGAGAGAGTTAATTCAGCCATCAGCTGCCACATCGACAGGGCTGCACTGGGGGGAGGGGGGAGAGAAGAGGGGGAGGTCCTGAGAAGGAGTCAGCTTTTGAAACTTTCTCCAAGTCCCACCCACCAAGAGGCTCTTCTCCCTGGTGACTCACTCCAAGAGGAATGCGAGTTGCCACGGTAACCTTTTTTTTTTTAACCCCTAGGGTCTCCGCCTACTGATTGGGAGGGAACTCTGGGAACGGTCAGGGACCGTCAGGTTCCAGTCCCCCTTGCCACCATCCCACCCATCCCCGTCCCAAATAAGAATCGACAGCAAATTCCTGGCCCGGTCCCCATCTCCCAAGTCCCAGGGCCCCCAGGACTGTGATAATCCTCTAGTGAGGCCCTTTGCAGGACAGGGAGTTTGGGTCTGTACTCAGAAGGTGTTGTTGAACCTTGAACTAATCTGTTTTCTTCCTGAACTCTGGCTTCCTCCCTATTTCGGGCAGTAACAGCGGTCCTTAGGAGAGGGTGCTGGATGGAAAGGGATAGTGCACGCACGGGGAAGCCTTTTACAGACCTGTAGCGGATAGATTTTAGAAAAGACAGGATTCTTCAAAACCCCTTTCCCCCCGGCAGCTCCAACATTTGGGGTCCAGAGACCATCTTCGTAAAAGTGCTGTCAGGAATACTTAAAAATACATTGTTTAAATTCATTTCAGTTTGGGAGTCTTCTTGTCGATTTCCCAAGAGCAGTGCACCCTCCTCTACAGAAAGTCTGGCCACTAGGGCTGGGACCTGGACTCAGTCTGGAGTGCTTGCTGGGTAAGCCTGGGGACCTGAATCTTGATCCTCAGCCCTCAAACGGGGAGCCAGGTGTGGTGCCTGCCTGTCTGTAATCCCAGCACTGGGGAGGCAGAGACAAGCAGAGCGCTAGAGCTCATTGGCCAGCCTGCCTGGACTCATTAGCTTCAGGAGAGTGAGAGACCCTGTCTCAAAAAAATAAAGGAGATGGGTATGGTGACATAAGCCTTTAGTCCCAACACTGAGGAAGTAGAGGGAAACTGACTTCTGCGAGGTAGGGGCCAGCCTGGTCTATATAAGTGAGTTCCAGGCTAGTCAAAGTTTTGTGTACACACACACACACACACACACACACACACACACACACACACACCACATACAGGAAAGGAAGAAAGGAAGGGCAGGTATTGGTCAAAAGCATGGGTTATAATTCAATGGTGACATCGGAAAAGATGCTGCCTGTCTTAGCCTCAGTTTCCCATTCTGTCAGATGGGGACGATCTGAGCTTGATATCCCCTGAACCCAGTCCCAGGCCCTGACTGCCTTGGAAGGAGGAGCACCCTGCATGTTGAATAGTAGCCTCCTTTCTCATCTGAGGAGAAGAACAGGAAAGAAGGCTCTGGTGGCACTGGCTCTGGGTGGTCCCGTGTCCAGCTGTGGGCTCTATAATCCAGTGCACATCTGTGCTTTTCACTTCCAGCTGCAGCTTTCAATGTTGAAAACAAGCTTTAAATAGTAGAGGTTATGAAGCAAAGAATGCTTGCCTGCCGAGTCCTTTTGGGCTGGCGGAGGAGTCTGGGGAGATAAATAAGCAAAACACATGGGGTACAGAGTTTAAATATGTAGATACTGACTTTACCACACACATGGCTAAAAAAAAAAGTGCAGAATGCAGCCACACCCTCACATTCTTCTCTCTGAGTGAGATCCTCACACACGCACATGCGTGCACACACACACACACACACGCATGCATGCATACATGCACACACGCACACACATACCACACACGGAGAGAAATTCTCTAAGTACATCTCTAAAAAAATATTAGTTTTAGCTGGGCAGTGGTGGTATACACCTTTAATACCAGCACTCTGGAGGCAGGGGCAGGCGGATCTCTGTGAGTTCGAGGCCAGCCTGGTCTGCAGAGCTAGTTCCAGGACAGGCTCCAAAGCTACAGAGAAACCCTGTCTCATAAACAAACAAAAAAAAATTAGTATTTATTTACTTATTTATTTGTTTATTTGTGTGTGTGTGTGTGTGTGTGTAAGCACAATGCCTGTGGGTGCCCTCAGAGACCAGGAGGGGGCACCTAAATCCCCAGATCTACAGTTGCACGTAGCTGTGATCAGCCTGATATGGGTGCTGGGAACTAAACATGGGTCTTTGATAGAGCAGTAAGTATTCTTAAGGGTTCAGTCAGTTCTCCAGTCACCATGCCCCTTCCCCAGGTACACCTCGTGAGTATGAAAACCGTGATCCTTACATACCAACAGATGCCAAGTCAGGCAGGCCATTCGTCACCTATTCCAGACACACCGTCAAGGATGCAAACACACCTACCATCAAATAGACTATCAGTCATGAAGAAGCCATCTCTCTCTCTCTCTCCCTCCCTTCGAGAGAGAGAGAGAGAGAGAGAGAGAGAGAGAGAGAGAAAGAGAGAGGCATATGAGTGCCCTCTTTATTTCCTAGATACAAACATTGAAACTCAGGAAGGGAAAGAAATTCACTTGAGCTTATACGACAGGTTGGTGACTGAGTCCAGCCTCCCCATCTTTGGAACCTTGTCAGGTTCTGGTCAGTTTGGAGCTGACCTTGCTCCGTAGACCCTAAATCATTCATAATACATAATTAACAGCAATTCCTCCCTCCTTTTGCTGGCCTACAGTAGCCTTCCCCAGCCTGAGTGTCTTGGTCATTAGGCCCAAAGCCCAAGGAATGGGAATTCTAAGTAGTTTCTTGGTTTCTTCCCACTGGCCCCTCCTTAGCCTCCAATTTAAAACAGGCAGAAGGAGAGGCTGCAGAAGCTTCCAGTCAACTTTCCCCTATACTGTAGAGTGTGGATCCCTGCTCCTCCCAGCCTCACTTGTGACTCCTGGGACAGCTAGCTGGCTTGCACAGCGTCAGGGCCAGCGCCAGCAAATGGTGACTTAACAGAACCCTTTAGAGAACAGCCTTCGCCTTGGCCAGGAGTGTGGTGGGCAGCAAATCAGCTCTGCTTTCGTCTGTCGGGCCATAGATATCTAGTAGGAAAGCCATGAGCAGAGATAATGACTTGGTCCTTCCAGGAACCTGATATAAAGTCCTGGGTTAAAGGCTCTCTTTGGATCATCTTGTACTGCTTGTGGCATTAGGATCTCAGACTTCAGTGGAAAAAAAAAATCATAATTAAAGTTTATATATTTTTGAATTTTTGGTTCAGAAACCACCTTGCCCTAGGAATCTGAGTGAGTTACTTTCTTTCTGTAAGCCATGAGTTCTTTGTCTAATGTAGAGACACAGTAAAGAACTGTCATGTGACTCCCAATGGCAAGCCATTAGTAGTGGCTGTCAGAATGGTATTAGAATGCTAATGCCACTCCAGACTTTGAGGGAAAGAGATTATATGATGGATTAGTAATGTCTGCCACACACACAGGCGGGGTGTGGGGAGGTTGGTGTGCTACTTATCTGCTGCCTTTGGAATCCCTTAGTCCTTTCCAGATGTTACATCTTAGACACTTTGATGTTTCTTATCCCCCTGTATTTGTGGCCACCCCTGATGCCACAGGGATGACTGTACATTGAGTCCCTTCCTTTTGCCTTTATTTGTTCTGGAGAAAGTTGAAAACTCAGCCTGGGCTGCCAGCAGGACCCAGTCACATGGTCTGGAGGAAGCGCAGGCAGCAGGAACTCCTCCAGCCTGGTCTAGACAAAGTAAAACGTGGCACTTTAGGAAACTCTGTGGAATTTCAGCAGGGCTGTGTCCAGCCACAAACTCTGGAGCCGCCTCCGAGCTGCCTAGAACCAATTCTAGGTTTTAACATCTGTGACTCTTAACCACTTCCCTTCCGACAAGAAATAGAAATAAAAAACAAGGAATCTGGTGCCAGTGGGGGAGAGGATGCATTCCAAAATCTGCTAAGTTAACCCAGGAGTTCAGAACAGATAAGGACTTTTGGGGCTTCCTTGCCCAAGGGTGTCTGGCTGTTTCTAGGGGAATCTAGAGCTATTTCCAGGTGGCTTATGGTGCACCCAGGCCCAATTCCCCTCCTAGTATACTGAGCTCTTTCTTTCCCTGTGTGTGATGTGTGCTTGCGCTTGTGTGTATGTGCTTGTGGAAGCCAGAGTCAGCCTCAGCTGTTGCTCCTCAGCTCTGTCCACTCTGTTTTGGGGACAGGGTCTTTCACTGACTTTTATCTTGCCGATTCGGCTGGACTGGCTGGCCGGCAAGCCCCAGATCCCTTCTGCTTCTGCTCTCCCCAGTACTGGAATTGCAGGCATGTGCTGCCATGCCCGGCTTTTACACTAGTCCTGGGGATCCGAACTCAGGTCCTCATGATTGCATAGCAAGCACTTATTAATTGATTCCCCCCATTCCTGCTTTTTGTTTGTTTGTATTTTTAATTTTATGCACACAGTCACAGGGTCCAGCAAAGGCCCTGGTCTGTTAGGGGCACTGGTCTTTGGAGAAGGTTTACTCAACAAGGCCTTGGCAGCATTTCAAGGTTCAGTAACCCCCTGGGTCTGGCCTGGTGGTGCCCAGCACTCAGGAAACAGAAACAGGAAGATCACAGATTTGAGGCCAGCTCTGGCTACATAATGAGACCTTGTCTTAAAACACAGAACAGTTCCCTCATCCCCCAAAACCTAAAATCAACCAAACTGGGTGTGGCGATTCAGGCCTGTATTCCCAGCATTTGGGGGGTGGAGGCAGGAGAATCTGGCCTTTGAGACCATCTTTGGCTACAGATCAAGTTCGAGGCCAGCCTAACTAAGGTCTCTGAGACCTTAGGAAGTTTTCTGAGATTGCATTTCTCCACACACTTTCCACCTAAGTTAAGTCGTCCTAAGAGTCTGTGGTTCTGAGTCACACTGTCTAAAAGCCCACAGTTCCAAAGCACCCTTGGGTTTTGATACTCAATGGCATCTCCGTGTCCGTAGGGAGCTCCTAGGAGCCCCTTTGGGTTTCAAGGGAAGCAAGCTGGGGGCTGGCTGTACTTTTCCATCCCAACTCTTCCATCCGAAGAGCTAGACAAGTGACCTCTGCTTCGGGTCCTGCTGGCAGCCCAGGCGAGTTTTCAGCTCTCTCCAGAACAAATACAGGCAGAAGAAAGGGATTCAATGTACGGAACAGGGGGAGGGGGTGCCAGGGCACCAACGGGGGCTGTCTGCATTTGGTGGTCACCAAGCCAAGAGTAATACACCTCCACTTCCTTCCCTGCCCAGGGCATTTTTCCTACCTACGTCTCAGGCCAGTTTGGCCCTAGTGGGCACCATCCTGGTGACCATCCCGGGAGCAGGCAGCTGCCAAGGGAAACATCGCACAGAGTTGAGAGACCATGCTGATACCTGTCACTCATGTGCTGGGCTGCTGGCTAGGCATGGATCTTCCTTCCCAGGCTTCTTTCTTCTCCTCTGTGCTATTGGGCAGAAAGACCTGCCTCAGGCCATCTTTTGGCTTGTGAAGACTCTGAAGGTATTGATATGTTCCCCAGCAAGCTGGACCTAGGTTTGAGTGTGAAAGATCATGGCTGCCTTGTACTGACTAGGGGGTCTTAACCATACGCTCTGGCCTGCCTGGGGTGACTGTTGTACCTCCAGCTAGCTTTGAAGAGTGGACCCCAGCCTCTTTGGCCGGAGGTGTATTATAGAACCTCAGAGACGCGTCTCATGGGCAAGCAGGGGACGTAGCTCTTCATCCAAACTAGTTAAGCCCCCACCCCACCAGCTGCTCACCCTGATATTTAGAGGAGAAAGATTCTGGGATTGGTGAAGAGCACCAGGCAGAGCTGGGATGGGGACAATGACCACCTCCCCTGAGAGTTTATAGGTCTGTTTTCTCCCTACCCTCACCCAGCCTCTGGGCTTAAGGCTGTGAAGCACTCTAGGACTTAAGTCCCGAGATAGGGCAGATGAGAGTGCAGGATGATGGAGGCAGGACAGTCTTGGGGTCCCAAGATCCCCTCCTTTTCCTTCAGCAAGACGGGGCATCCAGACTCAGGTCTCTCTAACTCTCTAACCTGAAAGGTATGACATCTCTGGTCCTAGCCTGGCTACCTCTCCAGTGATCGGACTTCTCTGCTTTTGAAGACTGGAGAGGGTGATGTATGGGCTCAAGCTGGCAGCCCCACTTTGACCTTTCCATTTCAAACACCTCAGACAAGGTCCTCATTGATACCCCCTCTCCTGTCCCATCTGCCAAAAGTCACATGCAGAGGATGTTGAGCTCGCATTTTCCAAACGGAGAAGCAAGAAGGGGAACAAGAGAACAGCTGTGAGAGGGGAAGGAATGTTCCAGAAGCTGACTAGAAAAAGGAAAGCCAGGACCTTTCCACCAGGCAGAGCTGTCCTGAAGCAATGACAAACTTCCAAGTCAATTCATTGACTTCTTTACAGTTTTCCTTCATGTCCACACCATGAAGTAGGGGGTGAGGCTCTTCTCAGCTTAAGCTATTGCAGGACTGTTATAGTCTATTCCTCTTCTGCCTGTTCTGCTACTCGGGTCCCATCCAAATAGTTCTGTAGTGCTGTAGATTGATTGAACTCAGGGCCTTGTGCATGCTAATCAAGCATGACACTTCTGGGCTACACCCTCAACTCAAAGATGTTTAGGAATCTAGACTATTTTTTTCCTTTCAAAGGCTATTATCCAAGGGAAGAAGGTGGATGCTAGAGGAGGGGCTGTCAAGACCAGCTTTCTTTGTGTTTGCTTGGCGTCAGGGACTGAAAGCTAAGCATGTACACCCTACTCCTCTGCTACACTCCCAACCTTCCGTTTTGTAAGCATTTTGAAGACTGTCCATCATCTCAAAGCTGGCCTCCTCTAGCCCTCTCTGTTGACAGAGGAGCCAAGGCTTAGAGAGAACATAGAATTTAACCCATACATGGAGACAATATCGAGGTAGAGTGAGAGCCTGGGCATTGAATCCAAGCCTTGTAGTTCTGCCCATACTGCCAAGGCATCTCCCAGCACCAAGTTTTGTCAGTTGAGAATGAAGAAGCTAGGGTTGGTGGGGCTGATAGGGAACTCTTGGGTAAGCAGATAAGGCATCGCCATTGCTCCTTCAAAAGCTCTTGGGTGGCAGAGGGAGCAGGCTTGCTCTGTGTGCCTGTGGAAAGAGACAGAGTAGACCACAAGCTTGAGGGAGGCAGATTTCGGAAGAACTTTCTAGATCCATTTGGTAACAGAAGCCCATCTGGTTAGCCCAAGGAGTCAGATGTTCCCACCACAGGTCCCTGAGTCACCAGCAGAGGTCTGTTCCAAGGTCCCTTCCTGGCTTGAGTTGGAGAGTTTAGAGTTTAACATCTTGAAAGCTGGATCAGAGCAGTGATCAGGGAGCCTTTTTAGATCTTAACGCAAGGGCACAGCTGGGTGATTTCCCTGGAGGACCCAAAGAAGGCTGTCCCTCTGGGCAGAGTGGAGAAAATGTGATCTCAGATTTCCACCACCCCAGAGCATGGAGCTTTGTTTTCAAGTGTACCTATCTCATTGTCCCTGATTCCTCTTGACTTCTCCCATTGAAGAGGAGGGGATGTGGAGGGGAAGAGGAGAGGGAGGGGGGGGAGGAAGAGAAGGGGGAGGGGAAGTAAAAGTCAGGGGAGGAGTAGAGGAGAGAGAGCTTGAGGAGGAGGGGGAAAAAGATCTTAGAACAAGAAGAATCGAAGAGCCCAAACTTGAGTTTTTAAGCTGTTGTCTTTGTCCAAACACGTCAAAAACCAAAATCGATGTACTTAGAATGGAGACTTCATCTCATGACCATAAATAGGAAACTCTGTACCTTTATCCTCAATAGCAGGAAACTGGGAGATGGGAAGGGCCACGAAGCAAACAAACCCATTCCATTCATTTGCAGCTGCACGGTTTCCCTTGGAGGCCCCAGGCCAGGTCTGCTTCTTGCATGAAGAAGTAGGACAATGGCTGTTGGAGGTACAAAGGGCATCTTAGCACAAATGAGGCTTCCTTTTAGCAGCCAAGCAGTTAACATCCCCATCTAACGTCACCTTTTGCCTCTCAGGAGGAAGCGTCTCTTGCTGATCCCATATTTTCTCCTCCCCCAGGGTTCCCAGCACCATGAGGGCCTGGATCTTCTTTCTCCTCTGCCTGGCCGGGAGGGCCTTGGCAGCCCCTGTAAGTACCGAGAGATGGTGTCTGAGTTCTGACTCATTCTGCTTTCTCCAGTTTCTGAACCTGCTCTGGGTGCTCAAGGAGACAGCAGGCCTGGGACGTGACTCAGTTGCTAGAGTGCTTTGCTTAGCACTCATGCACAAAGCCGAGGGTTTGGTCCCTAGCATTGTAAACCCAGCCTTATGGAACACACCTAAAACTCTAGCATTTGGGAGGTAGAGGTAGGAGGATCGGGAATTCAAGGTCATCTTCAGCTGTGTAGTGAGTTTCAGAGCAACCTGGGTTACTTGATATGCTGTCTTAAAAAAAATAGGGGCTAGAGAGTGGCTAAAAGCGCTTCCAGAGGAGCCAAGTTCAGTCCTCAGAACCCATATGGTGGCTTACAACCAGGGGCTCTGGCCTCTTGTGGGTACCAGTCATGTATATGGTACACAGACTACATGCAGGCAAAACCCTCATACACATAAAATAAAATAAAAAAAAAAGAAATCTAAAAAGATATTTAAAAAAATATGTATTTTGGGGGGCTGGAGAGATGACTCAGCATGTAAGAACAGCGATTGCACTCCCAGAGGACCCAGGTTCAATGCACAGCACCCACATGGTAGCTCACAACTATCTGTCACTCCAGTTCCAGGGGAATCCCATGCCCTCATGCAGACATATATGCAGGCAAAACACCAATACACATAAAAAATACATACATAAATAAATTTTTAAAAATATATCTTCTTTTTTTAAAGTCAGCAAGGTTAGGAGAAATAATGGGAAGAAACTATTGGGTAAAGTTTCCAAAAAAAAGAGAGCTCCCTGTAACCCATAGGTCAGAGCTTGTACTGCAGTTCAGGGTCCTTTAGCAGGAACTGGCCTCTAATCTGGGTGTCAACAGCAGAAATGAAGGCTTATCTATGGGAGGGAAGCTGGGAAAGGGACAGGCTGGCTTGAGCCCATGAAGCTATTTGATTATAAGTAACTGGCTCCGGCTGAATTGTGGGGGGCAGAGAAGACGCAGACAGAGATCATGACATCGGAGACTGTTGGAGGCCTGGGACAGGGCAGCCGCAATTGGATCTTGGAGTAAGATTGAAACTGGGCTGGCTTACTGGGAGTGGGAGAGGTTGCCATCAAAATGAACCAGAGATGCCCATCATTCCAACTTTAGCGAATGTGCTGCATATAAAGCAAGACAAAACAAAAAAGAAACATATTCAAAGAGAGCCAATCTGGCCAAATGAGGTCCTAGCCCCCCACCCCTTCCTCGTTCACTATATACAGTTTGCCTCCAACTCCCATTCCTGGGTTATTTGTACCAGTGTGCCTGGCTAGGAATAGCTTCTTTCAATCCGCATTCCCTGATGGCAGCTTCTGGCCAAACTCGTCAGGCAGGCAGAGTTTGACTGAAGACTTGGAGAGGTTTCTTTTAATTTTGGAAGCGACTGCAGCCAATCAGAGGCCTCAAGGTTTTGGTCCGGCCCCACCTGATCTCCTGGAGTCTGAAATGTTAGGAAGGAATTTTCTAGTAACCATAAAACGAGGTCACACATAATAGGAAGGAAGGTGGGACATCTATAAGAAGTCACAAAGGGTGTTTATTCTGGCTGGGTCTCACAAAAACCTCTGTCAATAAAATAATGGTTTGGTGGAAAGTCTGTAAAAGCCAAGTGTGGTGGCCCAAGCCCATGATTCCAGCTTTTTGGAAGGCGAAAACATAATTGGCGAGTTCAAGGCCTGCCTGAGCTCTGTAGCAAGCAAGATCCTGCCCAAATGAAATGAAATGAAGTATTGAGATAAGGGCTCAATTCAGTAGTAGATTGACTAAAACGGAAATGATACAGAGAAGATCAGCACAACTCTGGTGCAAGGGGACACAGGAATACATGAAGTATTCCATACTTTAAAAAAAAAAGAAAGAAAGAAATAAAGAGGGGGCCAATGAGATGGCTCAGCAGCCAAGCCTGACAAACTGAGTTTGATTCCCGGGACCCACTCACACGGTGGAAAGAAAGAATCGACTCCCTCAAGCCATCTCACCGTGGCGTGGGTGCTCACTCCATCCCATACGTACGACTCCTGCATACAAATTAAATAAAAATGCAATAACAAACGTTTTGAAGGAAGGTAGAAAGGAGGATGGAGTTGCAATGTGGGCTCCAGCCAGAGACGACCTCAGTGTTCCCAGCTTGAGATCTCAGTGCCCCCAGGCTTGTGCTCCCAGCCAGAGACACTCCAGGGAGGAAGCTGGCCTGGACCTTGACCAACTCTCTGAACCCTGTTTTCTTTTCCAGCAGCAGACTGAAGCCCCTGAGGAGGAAATAGTGGCGGAGGAAACTGTGGCTGAGGATACTGGGGTACGTATGTGGTGCGTTGGTGGTAACCCCACCCCTGACCCCCTTCTGACTGGTCCCTTCCTTGGCCCATTCAGGCAAGGGCAGTGGGGCTGGCTCCTTGCTGGAATGGTCCATATGTCCTCCTCTTGTGTGCACACAGGACCCAATATTAACTGGATCATCCCCAGACACTCATGACTGTTCCCCAAACTTTCATTTGAGCCCCAAGGTTGGGAGGATTCAGGAATGTTTGGGCTTCATATTTCTTCCACTATTATCCACAGTCTCCCTGCTGTGAAACAAAGGGACCCACACAGCTGGGCCTGGCAGGCATAGAGGTCTTTTGTCTTAACATCTTAGAGGCCTCTGATTTATTTTAATGGAATTTGGGGGCTCTAGACATATTGATAAAGAATAATAAAGCGAACAGACTAATAATAAATATAGGATTCCATCTAAATTCTCCACCCTAGCATTTGCACCATGGTCTGAGCCCAGCCTACTTTTTTCCTGTGTGTCCCTCATACTCTCTTGTGGGTCTCTGAAACTTCATGCAGGTCCCTTCCTCCTCTGTAACTCTTTTCCCGGACTGGGATGGGGTGGGGACCCCTGTCCTCATTCTTTCTCTTCCATGCCAGGTCCCTGTGGGTGCCAACCCAGTCCAGGTGGAAATGGGAGAGTTTGAGGACGGTGCTGAGGAAATGGTCGAGGAGGTGGTGGCTGACAGTAAGTCTCCTCCCTGTCACTTGGCACATCTAGATGGCCCTTGCCCGTGTGGACACAAGGACATCTCGCAGGAAGTTTCTGACCGAGGGGATGCACTGTGGGGCCCTGGCAGCTGTAGAGGGCCAGCTGGAAATCTTCAGGCTAGGGGAGTCTGGGATAGATCTATTTATAACCAGTCCATCCAAGCTGTGAAGGGCCGAGGAAACGCCACAGTTGGGTGTCACATTCCCACAAAGGTCATGATCACATCTGGTCACCAAGATTCCCCCAGGGCCTCAGTCTGGACTCGAGCTTCTCCCAGGAGTCCATCTGAAAAAGCTGACTGACTCATTCAATTTCTACTTGATCCAAGGAAGCAGGGGTGTAGGGAAGGAGCCTGACATAAATTCTAATGCCTCGAGTAGAGAGGGAGTGACTCAGGGCTCCAGTCTTCAGCCCAGAGGCTGAGGTATCCGGGTCCAATGGATTAAAGGCGTGGACTTTGGAAGCAGAGATTGAAACAAGGTTTGGATCCTTTGAACTAGGGCTTCCATATCTTAACAAAGCAGTTGTGCAGATGGAAGCCCCAAGAAAATGGCCCAGTGGGTAAGAGCACTTGCTTCACAAGCATGAAGACCTGAATTCAAATCCCCAGCACCCACTTCAGCTTTCTTGAGGGGACAGTTAAGGGTATTTGAAGAGAGCTGGGCGGGCTTACTGAAGCAGGGGCTGGGGTCTTGAGTCATATCCTTTTCCTCTTCTGTGCCCAGCCATTGTTTCCTGTCGAAGTGGGGGGCCCATTGTCTACTGTGGGCCTGGGTTCTTCCTTTTCCTTTGGGGACACCTGGTTCTATTCCGTTGGACCTCACAGCTCACTGAATCCATGACAACAGCTCAATCTTCCAAGTCATTCTAGAAAGTGCTTTGAATCCAGAAATGCTGCACTGTGGTTGCTCAGCAGGGAACTGAGGATCTAGGTGTTGTTTCAGTCTCTGGGAGAACCATATGCACCCCAGGTTTCTGAGTCCCAGACTGAGGTTTCAGCCCTCTGAAAAGGGCCTAGTCCTGACCTTGAACTGAATCTCTAATCCCCAGACTGAGTCAATTGCTATCCTAAACTCCATGACTGAGCACAGGAGATTGAGGGATGCCCAAATCTCTGGTGTTGGGAGTCTAGTACAGCCAAAAGTTGTCAGCCCCAAATTCCCATCTGTGTGGTGTAGGGGGCTGTGCCATCCTGGTGAGCTGACACTATGTTCTGTCCTCCAGACCCCTGCCAGAATCACCACTGCAAACATGGCAAGGTGTGCGAGCTGGACGAGAGCAACACCCCGATGTGTGTGTGCCAGGACCCCACCACCTGCCCTGCTCCCATTGGCGAGTTTGAGAAGGTAAAAGCAGGGACCTGCGTCCTGCAAAAGTTCAATGTGCTAAGAAATCGGTGGGCATGGGAGACCTAGCAGGGCATCTCCATTCTCAGAAGTCCTCTCCCTACGACCAGTCAGAACAGGAAAGAGGAGCTGAGTCATAGTTGAGGGCCTCCTCAGCCCCACCCTTCTAGCCACTGATGAGAATTCAAAAGAATTTACTCGTACCACCAGGCTCCAGACTCTGTGCTGAACTTGATCGCTAAGTGCTACACAATCTCAGATGGAATGCACTCTTGTTAATACTTTTATTAATTTTTTTTTTCAGGGTGAGGTTGAATGTTTATTCAGGGGGTTATGGAGGAGGAAGGGTGAAGGGGGAGACAGAGAGGGAGGGAGAGAGAGAGAGAGAGAGAGAGAGAGAGAAGAGGAGAAAGGGACAGAGAAGGGGGGAAGCAGAGAAGTGGGGAGAGAGGCAGAAGCAAAGCTGCCTCTCCGAGAGGAAGATCCTTTTATTAATTTTTTACATTTTATTTATTATGTGTGTATGAGTGTGTGTATCATGCATGTGGAGGTCAGAGGACTTCCTGGGGTCTGTTCTCTCCTTCCACCATATGGGGTGCAGGATCCTAAACATCAGGCTTGGGGACAGGCACCTTTACTTGTTAAGCCATCCCACTGGCCCTGTATTGCATGTAGTTAGTAAAGCATTGTGCCTACAGATGGGGGGTCTAGGGTCTGCTTAAAGGCTCACTGCCAACCCCATCTCCATCACTTGGTAGCTGGGAGATCTTAGCCAAGGTGCTGAGAGGTTCTAAGTCTTAATCCCCTCATAACTGAAAAGGGAGAGAGAATCCTGAACTCCTAGAGCTGCCCTGCATTTGTTTAAGGATGCCAGGTATGTGACAAGGACCCAGCGTTGTTATTTCTTAAACCTATCCATTCTATTTCCAGTAGTGTGCACTTACCATATATCCATCCACCCACCCACCCACACATCTGTCATGTGTATATGCACCAATTCTTACACATTCATCCACCCATACAACTATAAATCCACCCATGAATCCATCCACCTGCTCAGCTACCCATCAATTCACCGGTCTATCTGCCCATCTACTCATCCATCTGTTCATACATTCATCTATCCATCCACCCACTTCACTGCCCATTCACTCACTCTACTCAACCATTTAAAGCTCATCATCCATCCATCCTTCCATCCTCCTATCCATCTATATAGTCATCTATCTATCCATCCATCCACCCCTCTACACACTCACCTATCCATTCATTCAAGCAAATACTTTTTGGATACTTATTTAGGCCAACTATTGTGGTAGGGACTATCTGGTTCAGGGCAGAAAACCTGGCACCACTGTTCTTCCAGCAACTTCCAATCTAGCTGCTTATTTTTAAATAATTTTCCAAAACAAACCTTGCCTCTGGGCTTCAAATATTATCTTCATTTTTTAAAAATTGTTTTTATTGATCTATACACTTTTCTCCACTCTCCTCCCTTCCTCCCTCCTTCCTTTCTACCCTCTCCCGTGATTCCCATGCTTTCAATTTCTCAAGAGATCTTGTCTTTTTCTACTTCCCATGAAGAGTAGATCTATATATGTTTCTCTTAGCATCCTCTTTGTTGTCTAGGTTCTCTTATTAACTTCACTTTTAACTCCACCCCCCATCCCATGGCTCTCTGATGCTGCAATCTCCCCCTACAGCAATGTGTAAGCCTTTACTGACTCCGGGTTCTTCCCCTATCACAGGGTGCTCCTACCTGGGTCTCTGCTCTTATTTAGCCCTCAGCCTCTCTTTATGGTTCCTCTATGACCAGAGGTTTTTCCGGCAAGACTCAGTGAGTCAGTTCGCCCAGCAGAGGTTCACTCCAGACCATATCCTAAATAGTCATCTGGATCACATGGGAAGCAGAGAGAGGCTGCAGCATCCAGAGAGTCTCCATCTAGGAGGATCACACAGGGCTCTTTTACCCAGCCCCATACATGGTGCGGCGATGCTCCTGATTAGAGGAGCCCGCTGGGGTCAGTTCTCTCGCTCTGTCATGTGACATCTTTACCTGCTGAACAGGCTCACTGGCCCTTCAGTTTTATCTGAGCAAACCCTGGTGGTCCAGGCCTAGCCCAGGCACAGGGAGGCTGAAGTAAGTGACACGTTGAAAGTTCAAGGCTTGGTTCTGCCACACAGTGTGCTTAAAGCTAGCTTGGTCAGGGGGCTGGAGAGATGGCTCAGTGGTTAAGAGCACTGATTGTTCTTCCACAGGTCCTGAGTTCAATTCCCAGCAACCACATGGTGGCTCACAACCATCTGTAATAAAATCTGGTGCCAACTTCTGGCCTGCAGGGATACATGCAGGCAGAACATTGTAAACATAATAAATAAATCTTTAAAAAAAAAAAGAAAAAAAAAAGCTAGCTTGGCCAATGTAGTGAGACAGTGTCTTAAGATAAAACAGTAAAGGGATAAGGCTTTGAATCTGGGATAGAGTACCTACCTACCGTGCAGCAAGCTAGTCAGCTCTAGCAATTTAAAAATGTTTTTACCAGGGACTGGTCCCACGCTGAGTGTGGACCAATTCTAGACTCCCATTGGGAGCACGGGTACTCTGCCTAAAGCATCTTCTGCAGGCAACCCATGCTCAGTGAACAACTAGGGAAATGTCACCAGTCAAGCTCCAGGCCCCAGGCCATGGGCACCCTTATGCTTCCTTCTTTCTTTGTGTTTGTATGTTTGTGTGTGTGCCTACATGTGTGTATGTCATGGTCGGTGTTAGCAGTCAGTTCTCTTCTTCTACCATGCGGATCCTGGGATCAAACTCGGTTCAGTAAGCTTGGTGGCAAGTTTTTGTTTTATTTGGTTTTGTTTTTTGGGACAGGGTTTCTCCATGTAGCCCTGACTGTCCTGGAACTTGCTTTATAGATTAGGCTGGCCTTGAATTCATGCCTCTGCTTTCTGAGCACTGGCATTAAAGGTGTGCACCCCCACTTCCTGGCTTGAGTGTCTTTACTCTCTGACCTATCTCATCTGCCTTACTGTGTCTTCCGGAAGGATAATGGTTCATAGCTTGCTGTGTTCTTTATGCATGGACACATGTCTTTCCCAGCCCTTTCTTTCACTGTCTTTGAAGTACCTTCCATGTCTTGACTGTGACTCAGATTTGCTTCTGCTCCAGAATCACCCCTAGCTCTCCTATGGGGGAACAGTGGGGTCTAGAGTGATGGTCTTAGTCAGTGTTCTAGCGCTGTGAAGAGACATCATGACCACTCTTAGAGAAGAAAACATCTAATTGGGGCTGCCTTACAGCGTCGGAGGTTTAGCCCACTATCATCACGGAGGGAAGTATGGTGGATACAAGCAAACATGGTGCAGGAGAAGGAGCTGAGAATTCTACACCTTGATCCACAGACAGAAGGAAGAAACTGCCATACGGGGCATGGCTTGAGTATCTGAGTCCTCAAAACACATCTCCAAAGGACCACTTCCTCCAACAAGGCCATTACCTCCTAATAGTGCCACTCCCTATGGGCCTATGTGGGCCACTTTCTTTCAAACCACCACAGTGGGCTTCTGTTCCCCAACCTCCAGTTCACCTCGTGTGTGAGAACTTGGCTGTTATTATTAGTTGTTTGGGTTCCCGTGTCCCCATCTCTGAAATGGGCAAGGACAGGGCTACCAGGTCAGGCTTTGGGAATGAAGGAGAGGTGCCCTGTGCTTGGTCAACAGGTGTGCAGCAATGACAACAAGACCTTCGACTCCTCCTGCCACTTCTTTGCTACCAAGTGTACCCTGGAGGGCACCAAGAAGGGTCACAAGCTCCACCTGGACTACATTGGGCCATGCAAATGTGAGTGTGCCCACACCTTCTAGCCTTCTGCTCAGGGAGACGGCTTTGTGTTCTCTGTGATCTTGGGTAAATTTCTTCCCCTCTCTGAGCTTTAGTGTACCCATTCATAAAATAAATTCAGGCCATCTTATCTCCCGGGAAGGGACTTAGCAGTCATAGGGGCACATTTTAGAGAAGAATGAGAATGTTCTTTTTTTTTTTTTTTTTTTTTTTTTTTTGAGGCAGGGTTTCCCTTCGTAGCCTTGGCTCTCTTGGAGACAACTTGCTCTGTAGACCAGGCTGGCCTCAAACTCACAGAGATCCTCCTGCCTCTGACTCCTGAGTGCTGAGATTAAAGGTATGTGCCACCATCGCCAGGCAAGGCTGATCCTTCATAAGGCTAACTCAAAGCCTTCCTGTTTCAGCACAGTAAAATCAAAACCAAATTTGACCTGGGCCCGCAGAATATTTTAAATGTCTTTCAGTTTGAATGTTTTTCAAATGGGGGCATGCCTGGAGCTGGGGAGATGGCTCAGTGGGTAAAGTGCTTGCCATATAAGCCTAAGGACTGAGTTCCACCCCCAGAACCTATGTAAAAAGGCTAGGTGTGGTAGCACACATGTGTGGTCCCAGTACTGGGGAGGTGGAGCCTGGAGGATCCCTGGGGCTCACAGGCCAGTCCTCCTAGCCTAATCAGTGAGCACCAGATCAATGAGAGAGAGAGAGAGAGAGAGAGAGAGAGAGAGAGAGAGAGAATGTCTCAAAAAATAAGAAGTCAGATGACCCCCGAGGTGTGATGTCTGAGAATGACCTCTGGCTTCCAGCCAGGTGCACATACATATATGACTATGAGCACACATCTATGCCAAAATAAATAAGTAAATAACTACATTCAAAAATAGGGGCGTGCCTTCCTTTCCTTCTGTTCCTCTGTATCGACACAGACCCTTAGCCCCTCATTCCCTCATATTCCTCGTCCCCCTTTTCTAAAAGCCTAGGGGTTTTGAAGAGGGATGCCAGGAGCTCTGCCTGGCTCTTTGTTAGTGACCCAAGCTGCAAATTCTGCTGGTATGGGGTTTCCTTATCATATGAGTCTCCCAAACCACACTCAGTGCCCATGAGACAGCATAAGCTGTGTATAGCATGTTCTGTATAGGGAACATTCTTCCCCGTGGGCTGGGACTATAGCTAAGTGGTAGAGCGATTGTCTGGTGTGCACAAGGGCCTAGATCCCATCCCCCTGCTCTGCAAGCCAAACTGAACCAAACTCAAACAAAGGAGAGCCCCTCCCCAGCCTGAGGTTTTCAGCTGTAGGAAGTGAGGGCAGGAAACAGTGTCCCAATAGTTAGCTCTGAGCTCTTAATAACAGGGCTGGGATGTGCAAGGAAGGGCATAGATTAGAGAGCCTTAGAGAAAACAGGGTGGGGGATGTGCGCAGGGAGGCTTGGGCCGTGACGAGAGGCATGTTCTAAGGAGCCCTTAGCAAGTGGATGCTGATGCCTCTGAGGCCATCCACCTGCCCATCCAGCTCCACGTGGGGCTTTCCACTCCCGGATGGCAGTGGTCCTAGCCTCAAAGGTACATTCTTTGGATTCACAGTAACAAAAGAGCACACACCAGATTGCCCTCTCCTCCCTGCTGGTATCTATCCAAACTGGATGTAGGCTGATGGTCTGATACTCTGACTGCAAGCAAGAGCCTTCTCTTGCTCACTGCTAAGTTCAATGACTGGAGAGCCTGAATGAAATCTCGAGGTGTGACATTCTGGGGTTAAAATCTCTAAAGAGGTTCCGGGGGTTGTGTACTCTTGAGCCTTCTCCCCACTGTTGCTATGTTGGACAACATATGGATAGAGCTATGGATAGAGGTTATTTCAAGTACCTTCCAGGGTTTGGCCTCCAATAGCTGAGATCACATCCCACCCATCACCGAGAAAGATGCAAGAGCATTTGGGGTGGCGGTGTGCCGTATTAGGTTAGGTGCAACTGGGGAGCCTCAGGACCCCTGAGCTTCCCCATGCAGTCTTCTTTACTTACCAAGAAAAGACGTTGGGAAGGGTCTGCCTCAGAGGGACAGAGGCGCCAAGGCCAAGGTTGCCTAGTGAAGTTCCTGTAGGGAGTAGGGCAAGAAGCCGAGAGTAGCCAGGTAGTGTGTCTGCCCTCTGGGGGGGCCAGGTTGACTAATCTTGTCTTCTGTGCCCTAGACATCCCCGCCTGCCTGGATTCCGAGCTGACCGAGTTCCCTCTGCGCATGCGTGACTGGCTCAAAAACGTCCTGGTCACCTTGTATGAGAGAGATGAGGGCAACAACCTCCTCACCGAGAAGCAGAAGCTGCGGGTAAGCGGCCTCCTCCCAGCTTGGACCAGTCTGCCTGCTGTTGACCTCTCTGGACCCTGCTGATGGGAATCTACGGCCAGTTCTTAGAACCGGGCCCCGAGGTAGCCCCACTTTGCAGGGTGCCTTCACCCTGGATTCCAGGACACAAACCTCCAGCTGCCTTTGGAGGCTCTGAGAAGGTCTGTAACAGACGGACCCAAAGCATAACCCTATTATTCCTTCTCCATCTGAGTCAACAGGTCTTCTCCTTTAGTGGGCATATGTAGCCCTGTGCCAGAGACCTAATATAGATTTCTCAGTCTCTCCTTAAGCCTCCTTAGGCAGCGATGGCATGAGTCAGGCAGTACTATGACCTCCCCATCCATGGACAAGCTGCTGGCTCCCACCAGGGCCTCTGTCTTCCTCTCACTGTGGGCTCTGGCCTTGACTGGCCTCTCGTCACAGAGGGGAGGGGGCTGGGATGCTTGGTCACCTCATGATTCCCACCTACAGGTGAAGAAGATCCACGAGAATGAGAAGCGCCTGGAGGCTGGAGATCACCCCGTGGAGCTGCTGGCCCGAGACTTCGAGAAGAATTACAACATGTACATCTTCCCTGTCCACTGGCAGTTTGGCCAGCTGGACCAGCACCCCAGTGATGGGTAAGAGTCAGGGTGCTCAGGACCATAGGCTCAGCTCTGGCCTGAACTGAGGCTGGTAGGGGTACGAGATGAGTCTGTAAGGCCCCTCGGCTCAAGACTCCACGGTCTGCTTAGGGTTAGAGAAGATGGAAGGAGTAACCTGAGGAAAGATGAACCCTGAGACCCCCTAACATTAGAAGCAGGAGCCGTCAGTACAAATAATGATCCCTAGAGCATCCAGGAACAGACTCCAATGTGACCCAGGGCCAAGGCACAGCAGCCTTGCTCATGCCTCGCTCGTGCTTGCTCACGGTCCTTCAACAGCCTACGGCCGTCATCCCAGTGGCCATGTCCCAGATCCAGACTGAGTTTGAGCTCCATGAAAACCACCTGGCCCCAGAAGTTCCTCAAAAATCAGTCAATGGCTTCCACATCGCATCGCAAATTCCTGACTTGGGTTGTGACCAGGGCATTAAGGAGACTGCAGGGAATTCAGAGGACAGGCAGCACCTGAGCTCACACACACACACACACACACACACACACACACACACACACACCCCGCTGTCACTGCTGGCCTCCTTTTGCAGCTGTGAGTGTAAGAGACCCTGTTTAGCTCCCAAAGAGGCAACTCACTCGATCCTTCCTGGAGCTGTTTCGGCTCTTTGCTTTGAATGGCAGAAAACAGGTGGTCACTCAGGGGACAGGCAGGGCCACCCTGCTGGCATGTCAGGGAGAAAGAAACCAGGCCAGGAAAGCTCCTCTCTGAAATGCTCATTGCTCGCTCCGTGTCCGGCTATGCGCCAGGACACTGCCCACCCTGCTGGTCAACTCCCCCGCCACCCCCAGTGCCTGGCTCTCCTAGGCTCTGGGAAGCTCTCAGCTGCTCCTCTCCCAAGCTCTTGCTGTGGCTAGGATCCAATTGAGTGACATGGGAGTATGAAGGGGAGAGTCCTAGGGGACATCCCGATCCCATGAGCCAAGTGGCCTAGAGAAAGTTCTAGATGGTTTGCTGGGGCTGGGTGACTGGGAAAATGCTCCAATTTCCTCTTGGTCAGAGTTGTTGGTGGCCTTGCAGCTGCCTGAGTCTGTTCTCTCGCAAGACAGTGAAGGAGAGGCCTGGTTGGTTCAGATTCTGTGTGATGCTTCTTGCAAGCAGGAGGCTGTGAAGAACATTGGTGTCCCCTGAAGTCCCTTGTGGGCGATAGTATTCTAGGGACAATTAACTGGGATTCTGAAGGAAGGAAAGAAAGAGAAGAAAAGATCGTGCTCTGGAGTCCAGCAGGGAGGACAGTGAGAGGGGCTTCAGAGGACAATCCTTTTGTCGTTCATTGTGTGATATACAGAGGACGCAAGAAGGTTCTGTACCCTTTCCATCTCGCTGCCTAGCCAGCTCTGGCTCAGTCCCTCCTAGAAGTCAGAGCCATCACCAGGTACATGCTAGATACATGCTAGGCAAACCTCTCACTAGGAAATTCTAGGAAGGTCTCCTATCACTGATCCACCTCACACCATAGCCCCTTACTAGACGATTCTAGCTAAATACTCTACCACTGAGTCTTTTCCCCAATTCTTTACCGGTAGATTCTCAATGGGGGATTCTAGGCAGGTGCTCTATTGCTGAGCTACAACCCAGCCCTATTACAAGACTGGTGGGTCTGTTTTTAGACCCTTTTTCTGGTACCTGCATCTATGTATTGATGTGTGAGCACTGAAAATCTATAGTGTGATTTCACTAGATTTTGACTTACCATAACTGAGGTGCTGAATACACTGTTTCTGTGTGGCTACCACTCAGCCAAGTGACACTTACAAGGAAGTCACTGAGACTCAGAACCAGAACAGCCAGTTCCTCCCCCTGTCATGTAGAATAGGAAACCGAGGCTCAGAGTGAGGTAATGTGGCACTATAGGCTCCATTGTAGGTCCATGGCAGAGCTGTGGGTAAAGCCAGGATGCCAGCCCTGGACTCCTACCACTGGCTTCCTGTATTGAGCTGTGTGTTCTCCCCTGCTCATATCTTTCCCCACTCTTTCCTGCCAGGTACCTGTCCCACACTGAGCTGGCCCCACTGCGTGCTCCCCTCATCCCCATGGAACACTGCACCACACGCTTCTTTGAGACCTGTGACTTGGACAATGACAAGTACATCGCCCTGGACGAATGGGCCGGCTGCTTTGGCATCAAGGAGCGTAAGTGTTGGGGTTCAGGGCGAAGAAGTGCCCCCGAGGGATGGAATGTCGTCACTTCCCCTCTGGTGGCTCTGTCTGGCGTTTGTCTGTCCTGTCTGTCTCCTTTGCCTGTTATTTGCTGTCTTTGTCTTTGTGCCCTGAAGGTCTCTTTCCTGACCTTTAAACATTAGTCCTCCACAGAAGTGTTATTTTGGGAACTGGCTGCCTCGGGAGAGGAAACAGGAAGTACAACTTGGCAACCAGTTCAAGAGATGGAAACAGGCTAGAGTCAGGGAGATCAAGGTCCCACTCAACCTCTTCTCAGTGACCTTGACTGGTCACTGGTGCTGGGACGGGAGGAAATCCAGCAGACCCTAGGACCCTAGGACGGACACCCAGCCTCCCTGTTTTATTAGCGTATAGTGATTATACACAATGACGGATTTCATTATGACACTTTCTTACATCTACACAGTATATTTTGGTCATCTTTGAGGCTCATTACCCTCCTGTTCCCACTCCTGCTGTCCCCTCCTCTTCCCAACCAGCCCCCTTCTGCTTTTATGTGGCAGAACCTTCTTTTAACTCCCACTCTCCTTCCTTTGCAGAGGACATCAACAAGGACCTGGTGATCTAAGGTCACACCTCCTTCTGCAGTCCCGGATTCTCTCCCTCTGATGTCCCCCTTACCATTCCCCCTTTGTTAAAAATGTTTGGATGGTCGGCTGTTCTGCCTGGGGATAAGGTGCTAACATAGATTTAACTGAATACATTAACGGTGCTAAAAGAAGAAGAAAAAAAAGATACTATAACCTAAGTCATGGCATTTTCCCATGTAACTCGACTCTGGGGCGTGGCCCATCCACAGCCCCCACAGCCCCCACGTCCCCTCCACGGCCCAGTGCCTCACTGGCTGTGTTGGAAATGGAGTCACACGAGCTTGCCTTACCCAAGCACGAGGTATCTTTAGCTTTCATTCCTGTTTTCCACTTGACTCTAACACTCACCCATCCAGACTCTGCTGATCTCATTTTGGGGTGGGGGCTACCTGGGGTCTTCCCCAGGTGTTTCGTAGGAAGGCAAAGGAAAGTGACAGACATAGGATACAAAATTTGGGCAAGGATGCTCTGAGACCCGAGGATCCACCGTTCAGAACCCAGTCATGGTAGCCTAGATCAACGATTTGAGAGAATATTCCGGAGCTGTGAGGACTCCCAGCAGCCCAAGACCTCACTGTCTCTTCCACTCTTTAGGCAGTTTCTTTCTGTGTTTGGTTGTTGGTTCAAATTTTGGCAAGCCATGGGTCTATGGGTGGACCAGAACATCTCACAGGATTCTCCTACTGATAATGGGCTTCCGGGGTTCTTCCTGGGGGCTCCAGGCACTGGGAGGTCGTTTCAGGAAAGCAAGACTCAAGAGGAAGGCATAGAAAGTTGTAACGTAGAGAAGGTGAAGCTGGTGAATTGGTTTGATTTTTTACATCTAGACGGCTATCATGAAGTTTCTAGCATGCCCCCACCCCCACCTCGCTAATAACCATCTACTAATCAAGAGAAACTTCCAAGTCAATGGAACGGTCGGATCTCGCAGGCTAAGAATTTGTTCACCTCCAAGCATTTCATGAAAAAGCTGCTTCTCATTAATCATGCAAACTCTCACGATGACGTGAAGAGCTTGACAAATCTTTCAAAATAAAAAGTAACGACTTAGAAACTGCCGTCCTGGGTGATGGTGTGTGTGTCTTGGTCTCAGGCACTTTATTTCCCCCGACCCACAGATACCTGGGCATCTTTGTGTACACCTGCATGGATGCAAACACACTATTATGATTTTATACATGCTTAGACACACTCATACACAGGGAAGCCCTGGCTCCTCTGAGCACTAATTTAACAGGTGAGGAGTTCATTCAGTTCCTGGCCCGTGGTATAGCTCAGTTGGTAGAGCATTTGCCCAGCTGCACAAAGCCCTGGGGTTGATTGATCCCTAGCACTGTATAAACTGGGTGTGGTGAAGAAGGCCTGTAATTCCAGCACTGAGGGGATGGAGGCAGGATAGTCTTTCTCAGCTACATAGTGAGGTGGAGGCCAGCCTGGGCTACATGAGACTTTGCAGGGGGTGGATTAGTTCTTTCATCACTGCAGCCGCACCTCAAGTGCCTGAGAACCATGCGGTAGCTTTGGTCACCCCACGGAAGAGGATACATTTTCTTCATGGGGAAGTTCTAGGTAGCTGAGTCATCCTGTAGTCCCGGCACTTGGGAGGCAGACACAGGCAGATCTCCACGAGTTTGAGGCCAGCCTGGTCTATATAGTTACAGGCCAGCCAAGACTGCATGAGAATGCGTTTCCAAAAAAAAAAAAAAATATTCTAGACACTCAAAAGCCACAGAACACTTTATGAAGCTTGTTCCGATCAGATGTGCTAATGTGATGTTTCAGGTTCCTAGTCCCGAAATTCCCTTGGAGAGGAAGGGACTGGCTGGAAAGATCTCTATCACTACAATGGGCCACACAGCAGTTTCTTCTGACAGTCTGAGGATGATTAACTTGAGTTTCTAGAGCAGAAACTAGCTGGACTTCTGTGTGTGTAACGGGATGGGGAAGGAAGCGGGCCCCGGGCAGTTCTGTCCTCACCATGCGATGTGTACAAGCCCAGCACCACTGACGTCTCTGAACAGTCAGAGGGCTTAGGAAGTTCCTGCAGTGCTGCCTTCACTAGCTGCTGCTTATCAGGCGACTGCCATGTATGAGACCGAAACACACAGCCGAACAACTCCCTTCAGACAGAATGGTGCATGAAGGGAATGAAGACCGGTGCTGGTGCAAAGCCCGAACCTGTTTCCTCTGGCCAGGTGAAGAGCGAGAACTTGACCCGGTGGGTGATTGATGCAGTCTTGCCCCTGGGCCGGTCTGGGCCGGATCATCTATAAACACGCAGCACTGACTCCCAAAGTCCAGCTCTCAACTAACCTGGATTCCCGGGACTTGGGAGACTTGGCTGTCCTGGGACTTGGTTGTCCCTTGAGGCAGTGAATACAGGGAGGAGGTGGAGCTTAGCATGCCTCCCATCCCTGTAAGTGAGCATCTCCTATATTGAATCTTCAGAATTTCCAAAAAAAAAAAAAAAAAAAAAAACAAAAACAAAACAAAAAAAAACCCAAAACAAAAAACAACAACAAAAACAAACCCAGCATTGAAGAATTAAGAATCAAGGTTGAGCTGAGGGTCCCGGGAGGGCAGGACATGGGCACACACACTGCAGTCCACAATGAAGTTGGTCTTCTGATGGGAGCATCAGTCTCCTTAGAGATGGCGCTTTCCTGTCCACCTGGCTCTGTCCTCCCATCCCTTTAACGCAAATTACTTAAGACACACCTGAATCCTGCACTTGGGAGTGGGGGTGGGGACACGAGCAGGCAGATCTCAAAATTGAGGTTAGCTTGGGTTGCATAGTGAGTTCTAGGCCATCCATATATACATAACAAGACCCTGTCTCAAAAACTAAACAGAAACAAATACCCACCCCTAAAGTCCTTTAATATCCAAAGGAAATTATATCCTTACCCTAGATGGAAGGCCAGCTTCGTGTAGCCTAGAACATGACTGGGGTTGTGACTCAGTGGACAGAGGCCTTGACCTGAGTTTGAATCCAGAACAAAAGAAACTGGGAATGATGGCACAAAACTATAATTACAGTCTCTGGGAAGTAGAAGCAGGAGAATCAGAAGTTCAAGGTTATCCTTGTCTACGGGTAAGATGGAAGCTAGCCTGGTATGCTGGCTGGTCAACTTGACACACAAACTAGAGTTACCTGAAAGGAGGAACCTCAAGAAGAGGCCTCCATGAGATCCAGCTGTAGGGCATTTTCTTAATTAGTGATTGATGGGAGGGGCCATTGTGGGTGTGGCCATCCCTAGGCTGGTGATTTTGGGTTCTGTGAAAAGCAGGCTGAACAAGCCAGTAAGTAGTAGCCTTCCATGGCCTCTGCATCAGCTCCCGCCTCCAGGTTCCTGCCATGTTTGAGTTTTGTCCTGACTTCCTTTGGTGATGAACAGCAATGTGGAGGTGTAAGCCAAATAAACCCTTTCCTCTACAACTTGCCTTTTGGTCATGGTGTTTTTTGTTTTTGTTTTTGTTTTTAGTTTTTTGAGACAGGGTTTCTCTGTAGCTTTGGAGCCTGTCCTGGCACTAGCTCTTGTAGACCAGGCTGGCCTCGAACTCATGGTCATGGTGTTTTGTTGCAGCAATAGAAACCCTAACTAAGACACCTAGGCTACATGAAACCCTATTTTAAAAATAAAACAACACACACTCCCCAAAAACCATCTATACCCTAGAGATAGACCTTAAAGATAAACAAATACAAACAGTGAGAAACAATGCCATGCATGAGTGCCTGTGTCCTGTGCCTCTCACTAATAGAGAAGTCAGACCTTGCCACACAGTTCAAAGGAAAACCAAATCACAAATAATTAGACATAAATTAAGGCTGACCAAGGAGCTTTCCTAAAACCATCTTGGAGCAAAAATGATGATTGTCTCTCCCTTATGGGAGGTGTAGGTCTTTGGGGGACCATTGAAGACTCACCATTTCCAGGAGAGTAGGTAACCAGAACCATCCTTGAGATGGTAGGTACCTGGGTCAAGGGAACCAGAAAGGGACACTCCTCATCCTTCCTCCTTCCCTCCCATCATCCCATCCTTTCTTCCTTCTATCCTCCTATTCATCCTCCCTCCCTCCTTCCCCCTCTTCCTTTGCCCCTCCCTCCCTCTTCCCTCCCTCCCTCCCTCCCTCCCTCCCTCCCTCCCTCCCTTCCTCCTTCCCTGTGTAACAGAACAGAGCCTTTGCCAACACTCCAGGCTCATGGTCCATTTGTGAAAACCCTGGCAGTCATGTTTCTGCCTTTCAGGGTGTGGTGCAAGGTACAGAAAAGGTCAATAAGTCGTCATCATCACCACCATTGGCCACTCTCTTTTTAACTGCGATGCCCCATTATTCCCTCAGTCTAGACCTGTCCTTGTCCCCTTTCCTCCTGACAACCACACTTCTTCCCCAAGGCCACCTGTGCTTTGGGAAGGAACAGGGGCATCTCAGTCCTGCTAGGCTGTACCAGGCTACTTAGAGTCTGCTTTAGTTCTTGCTACAGGGACTCTAAGTGTTAAATATGTCCAAACTGAAATAGGAGAATAGGCGTACTCAAAGAAGACAGAAGGGCCCGGACAGGGCTGGAAATATGATATCCAGCCAGCTGTGGGTGGAGGCCTCTTTTCTTCTACAAAGTGGTCAATGGGCAGCTGGACCACTGAGTGATACCATAAGGAACTCTATGATCTCTTTTTCTACTTGGATGGATGGCTTCAGGCATATCAGACCCTGGTAGCCCTTATAACCTGATTTCCAGCTGTACTCTCGGATCCAGCGGGACCCAGAATCCAGCCAGTCACCAAACTAGGAGGCATCTAGGAGAGTCTAGTGCCCCCTGGTGGTGCTAGAGAGAATGGTTCCCAGGGATGCAGGATGTGATATTTAAAGTCATAGGGTGACCCAGTATGGCCCCTCATTTTCCACATTCGAAATATGAGTTTCAGAGAAGCAGAACCCCTTAGGTAGGATCACCCAATAAAACACAAGACTCCTGGATTTATTTGATCTTTGGACAAACAATAATATTTTTTTTTTAAAAAAATAAGTCTAACTACATCTCATTTGCTGCGATGTCTACTCAAATGACTCGTTGGGTCCTGAGGTTCACATTTAACTGCGTGTTTCTGTAGTAAGCCTAGCAACACTCCAAGCTCAGCCACTGAATTCATGTGTGAGCTGGGCCTGCAACCCAGACTTGACCAACCCTTTCTCTCATCACCCGGGCCCAGTTGCCCGGCGTCTTACAACAGTGCTTCATACAGCTCAGGCTGGCTGCAAATTCCCGGTGGAGCTGAGGATGACCTTGATCTCCTGCACCTCCCAATGCTTGGATCACAGGTGCCTCATCACTGTGTCTAGTGTCTCCTGCTTGCAGCTCTGCTCAGTCCTCAGCATGGGCACAGAAAACGTTGGTGTCATTCTGGCACAGAATGATCAGAGGACCGGAATTCCAGCTGTGTCAACCATAAGGCATGGTTCAGGTGGGAGAGAGGTGAGTCTTCTCTTGAGCTCTCGCCATCACTGAGAAACTCTGCAAGGTCCCATAATAGACCCATGCCCAGCATCCCTGATCCAGGCTGGGAGTGAGAGCAGCTTGGGCATCTGCATTTCTGGAGATTCCCCCAGGTGATTCTGAATGCATCTCAGCAATGAGGACCCCTCCACCCATCACCACAGAAAAGAACAAGGGGCTTATGACAAGTTTAACTCGTAGAAATCTGTCATTGTCAGTCTTGCGTGGTGGGATAGTTAGAGTGTTCTTTGTGAAATTAGCACACGGTGAAGGACAAGCATCCTTTGACTACAAGGTTTCTGCAGCCCAATGCATCTTCAGGGCAAGGTAAAATTCCACAGCAAACTAGGTCTGAGGGACTTGGTT